TGCTTATAGACCACACTCATATCATGATTTTAAAACACGATATCCTACTGGCCAAGCTCACAGACCGTCAGCCTCAATACCAATGAAAAATCGTCAACCATCAAAACATGTACCAGATGAAGAATATCATAAACCAATATCACAACAGTCCAGTAAAACCAATTTTAAAAATAATAGTGCACTGTTGCTTGCGAAACTAGGGATTCTCAAACTTAAGATAATAGGTATTTTACAAATTATATTCCTTCTAGGTTTCAAGCTAAAATTATTTATTATAACAATATTCACTAAATTCCTACTATTAATGAAACTTATGAAGTTTTATAAAATAATAATGGTACCTGTGATACTTCTATCATCATTATCAGTGTTGGGATCAATATTTAATAGCACAAATAACTCGTTAGCTTCCTCTCAATCAAGTCTACTAAGCACGTTACTACAGAATTTATCTAACAATATGGGAGAATCAAGTTCATCAGGAAGTAGTAGTTTCTCGAGTAGCAGCGGTAGTTCCCCGGCAGGTACTGGTTTCTCTGGTACTATTTCAGGTGACATACCTCCGGATCTCCTAGAATTATTATTCTCTGGTTTATCGCGGGAATCAAGTGGTCGCTTATTTCTGGATATATCATGTGACTCTAGTAATATCTTACTTCCGGATTTGCTACAAGGAACAATGCAAAGTGAAATAAATAATAATTATTTTACACCCAAAGTCCAAGACTCAAACACATTCAATAGACAACAATATAAGTCATTTGATCCTACCTTGACAATATCCCAAAAAACATTGGATTCAGACAAATGTGTTCAAAGTATAGCTTGTCGACTGGCTGTTGCTGAAAAGACTAGTATTATTCCAATTCAGATTAAATTATGGTAAACAAATCATCTTATTTTTGATTATGTTAACGAAATGCACAGTTCATTATTTTCGAAATAACTTTGAAAACATTCAAGTTTGTATGTATTGTTCCCATTTAAATGTGACGCGTTACTATCTTATGATTTTATAATATCACAAACTATATCTATATAGGTAATATGTTAATTATTATTTATTGTAAGAGCGCATAATTCACATAATTCCCAATATTTTCTATCACAAGTATATTATTAATATATAATAACTATTATTCTTATATCCTTTTACCTTTTTTTTATAGGATTTTAAATGTTGTATCAAAGTTAATTCCTGAAGAAAAATATGAGTTATATTTCAAAACTTATAATTTTATAAATAATGAAATTGAGACCACCAACACGTCATTAACCGCAGAGAATTTGTCAGAATGGTGCTTAGAACGTTTAACAGTGACAACATTACGAACCGATTAAAATGATTGTTGTTATATATCATTACTTTATATTTATACAATTAATAAATATTATATTTTTTGTAATATGGAAGAAAAAAAATACTGAATTAAATCATGGCATGAACATTAAATCATTTCCAAAATATTTTTACTATATTTGAACTATAATTAATTTTTTTAATTTTATATTTTTATAATATTATGATTATGTCATGTGCAGTTTTAATTTTTAAGAACTGAAAATAATTCATGGTACATGATTTTGTATTCATATAAATATTATCCAATTGTATGTAAAATACACAAAAATAAATGAAGACTTAAAATTAAATTTATGGTAAAATAAATAGTTTTCATTATGATTACGATTTGATGTCAATAAAATATTTTGGGTACTTACCAATTATACATATTTATTTTTTTACGATTATGTAGGTACATATTTTAAACATATCTTATTACTAACAAACAATGAGAAACTTAAATATTTTATATTAATTTATTAATTGCTAAAAAAAAATAAACAGCAATATAATCAAATTAGGTTTAACATGGTTCCAAAGATTTGGTTTAAAATAGTATATGACTTCAATACCAAAAAAAAACGAAATAAGAAGTCACCAAACTTCACAGTTATCATCTTCAGGTTTCTATATTCAATGATGCAACAGCAAATATTATAAAAGCTCTATTATTTTATAGATAGATAGTTGATATATATATCATAGGATAAGATTATCGATTTATACAAACTAAAAATGTAAAATTTATTTTTCAAAGACAAACATTGTGCATGATACAGTTAATTTTAAATAATTTTTCAGCATAGTATGTGACATGTGTAACCTGGTATATTTTTAATAAAGAATGTAACTCGTATCACTTATACAATGTAATATTTACTGGAAAATAATTTTAAAATTAAAATATTTATAGAAAAATATGTGGTAATAATGTAAAATAAAATGTTCTACTGATACATATAAATCGTGTACTTTACTTAAATGTTCATCGGTACCTAGTCCACCTCCTTAAATAGATCTTAAAAATTTGGGAATTCGTACTGATATGTGTACCTCGTCATTAGATCGCTGTAGAGGTTTAGTACATTTTATTAATTCAATGTGATACATTATATAAGTGAATACAAAAAAGTGGTTCACAACGGACGAAACATAATCCTTTTCAATAAAACTTGTTATAGGTACTATGTTTAGTTAATATCAACATAGATACTACTGAATCTAGTAGTGAAATATACTAACCATAAAAAGGTTGGTGATATGAATATCTTAAGATAATAGGATTAGTAAAAACATAAAAAAATTTAATCGTACATAGAAAATAATAATATACGTAATGGTTAAAAGTTTCAGATCCATCGATATTTATTATTTGTGAATTGTGATTTGTATTCATAGTAATTCATAGTTTAAAAGAAAATAATTAAAATTGATTGATGAAAAATTGTATTTTTTCAATGAAATATTATCAATTTTGTCAACATTTTAACATCAAATGCATAAAAAAAATTGTTCCGATGTATTTTGAAATATTAAACATTTTAAGCTGCTGCTTTTAAAACCATTTATGAAGAACATTGAGTTAAGACGTTATTAAGCTTTTTTACCGAGAGACCTAAAAAGTAAAAATGTGAATTACATAATATATTTTTGTGTTTCGTGCTAATAAAGTTTCGTGTATACCCGTTCTTTCAATTTTGCATTCGGTTTCTGAGTTTTATCCTCACTTTTCACACACAATGCTAAACCACAACTTACAACTGGAGGTATATCAGTGGAGGTCAAATGATTTTGTCATGGCGGAGATATGGTTGATGTTTTAACATGCACTATTTGATTATTAAAAATATAACTTATTACGGCTATCGGATACTAAGTATTGAAAAAAAGGTCATGAGGGATCCCCCTCACCTACCCCCAACGTTCAACTGTTACTAAGGTATATTATTTGTGTATATTTTTGAATCGTAATCACATAAATGGCTATTTATTATAATGAAGTTAATTAAACCTTAACTATTATGGTTGATAATATCATATATTTACAAAGAATAACAGTATGTAGGTAGTTAAAACGGACAGTGCAGTTCATTGCCGTGAATCATAAATGTAATAATATGTTGTACCTACGTAAACCGTTTATAATAATTTACCAAATTTATTTTTTAGTAACGTATTTTGTAACGGCTTGAAATTATTATTAATGAACTATAATGCGGAAATAATAGTACTCAGGTGGGGATTATCGAATGGGCTAATGATAGCATTATGCTCAATGTTGCGCTATTTTATGTTATTTCATTACGAATAATATGGATCCAGGAAAGACATTGAAACATATTTTTCTAGTACTATTATTCTCGCTAGTATGTGTATCATTTTATTGAAAATCTACAACATCAAATTAATTATGGACAAGATATTCATTGGTGAATAAACAATAATGATGTGAATTAGTGAGTATTTTGATTATTGTTCTATTCGTGTAATTCTAACTGTATTTATACAAATTTATACTAGTAATTAACATTGCTATAAATTTATTTAAACTATGTGGCTACATGATGGTTTTATTGAAAACAATATTAAACAAATTGAATTAACAATTATTATTCACGTTTTTTATAAAATTTGTTAACATAACATACTTATAAACTGGAAGTCTAATTACTCATAATACTCGATAGTTTTTAATAAATATTTTTATTTGATACATTTACTGCCAACGTCCAACACTTTAAAATTGTAAATATTATTTTTATGAATAAATGTTGTAGGTATTTATTAGAATTCAAATTTTTGGAATTTTTAAATACACATTAAACCTATTTTTTGAATCATTGAAATTTTTTGTACCACTTAAGGATCATACTGTAGCAATGCTAACTTCAGTTTTTCTAATAGGAACCACCCATTTTAATTTTTAATTATTTAGCAGATATTTTTTTTGATAATTTTGATGTATCTAAATCAAAATTCAAGCTAATAGCTTTGAGTTATGTAACTTGTGTCTTAAGGTAATATAATGTCTATGGTAATGGTTAAATTAATGATAGAAGGCTAACACGATTTGAAAAAGTTAGGGATTATTTTATTGATTTATCAATATAAATGATTTGTAAAAAATATTCAAGTATCTATAAATAGATACTCCATCTAACTTTACATAAAGCTTTTATTTTTAAAAAAACCATTTATAGTATAAACATTTTAATAACTTAGAAAATACTCATTAGAATTTAGATTTAGATACATCAACATTTTCAAAAAAAAATCCTCTGCTAAATAATTTTCTGTGAAAAAGAGGGGTTCTCATTTTAAAAATAGAAGTTAGAAGTTTTTATCGCCACAGGAAACTCCTTAATTGGATCAAAAATATTATAAATTTGAAAATATGGTCTTTAGGTCTACTTAAAAATTCTATTAAAAGAATTTGAATAAATGTACTATTAAAGGGGAAAATGGGGACGAGCATGCAAAGCTAAAAAATCATCCTGTATATATATATATATATATATATATTATATGATATTTTTATAAGGCCAAAGGTTTGTACTAATATATATTTGATAATGTATAGGAATTTTCTATAATATCCAAGGTGATATAATATATCATAATGATCTATTATCAATAATCTATATTTTAGATAACATATAATGTAGACATATATTTCATCAATTGCGCATATCACTGCCGGTTCCGGGAAAGTTGACTGTGCTCACTGCTCATTCACCAACACCATCCACCAACATTATGTCAACCATGGTAGCGGTAACTGTCGCCTTGACATTTCTATGTGTTTTTTTGGTGAAACCACTGTCAGGTGTACATGATTACGGACCGGTTTCAGTAGTTTCTGACGTGAAAGCTCCTCCGATATTCACCCCCTCCGAAATGAAAATCTTGCATCCAGTCAACCAGCATGATAACCGAAGACTGGAGGACGCACAGAATTTGGGTCCAACTGACAACGGGTAGGTACGAATCGCTATACAGTGCTTCCACCTTTACATCAGTCATCAAGTATTGCGAATATTGCTCATGTAGTACTTGTGTTTGATGCGTATAAAATGATAGAGAGTAACCATTAAAGAGAAAAACTGAATATGACAGGATAGCAAAAAATGTTCGAGGTAACAGTTTAAAATAAAAGTTTAAAAAAAATTAAGATTTGCAATGGCTACACTGCAAATAACCACTCAAGTCGAAACTTCGGAACAGTAACAATAGCGAACAAATAAATACCTTTATATTGACATTCAAACTAACTGACGGTTGAACACAACTGAATTTTGTGTGTGTGTGTGTGTGTGAGGGGGGGGGGGAGTAGAAATCACAGGTTACATAAATGTTTATTTTTAAATTACACTTATACTTTAATATTTATTTAATATAAATTGTTTACTTTGTTTACTTTGTATGCAGCTCAAATCATAGTCAAACGTATAACCATGACCATTCTTCTACACACACAGATTCGTTGGAATCAGAATCAAAAAAAAACATTTCAGTTGATCTACAAAATACAATACATGATATGAACGACAAGGACTTAGAAGAAATTGAAAACCCAAATGAGGAAAATGGATGGACCACGTTATTTAAGCCAGAACAGACATTAATTTCAAACCTCACCTCGTCAGAAATAATAGAAAATGTTGATGGCTTAAGTAGACCTTCTTTTGAAAAAGGAGTACTCAATCCACCTAGTAAATACGATGAAGATGGGTCTGACCTTCTAACTAGACAAGCAAACAGAGTTCCTGAAGTATTAAATCTATATTATGCTCCATCTATCGGATTTTACCGTGGAAGCAACCCACTGATACTAAAAAATGGTGAAATGTCAGTATTGGTCCAAAGTGGAAATACAAATCCTCAAGTAACAAATATGAATCCTGAAGTAATAATATTACCCGATTCCCCCACAAATCCTCAAACACTAAATGTAATAAGCCCAGAAACATCAAATATTATGAATGTACAAATTCCCACACCGATTTCCCTGCGACTGAGCAACTTAAATTGGCGAAGAGTTAGTTTATTGTTGGCGTTTATTAAACTGGGGCTAGTCAAACTAAAATCAGTAGGTTTCATAAAGATAATACTTTTTTTTCTGTTTAAACTTAAAATCTCCCTGATGCTTGTCTTTTTTAAGACTATTTCAATTTTTAATATGTTGTTATTTTCTAAATTTGTTATGTTACCACTATTTATTTTACCGTTAATACCAATAATAGTATCAATGATTTCGCCAAAATTTATGATCGGATTACTTTCAATCCCAGGAAAGATAATAAAATATAATATGGTCTTAGGTCCCTCTGATTTTGGCAAAATCGCTCCGACATCTATCAATTCGACTGAAACAAATAGTTCTATAAGTGCTTAATCAAGTCCACTCAATTCAATTCCAGCGGAACAACTATAATTCTGCACACCGCAATAAAAAAATACCATGTTTTAAATACTACTGACTATCACTAACTACTTAAATATACTCAAGAGTAATAATTCTGTTGAATTATCAGATCCTACTAAAAACTTTTCCAAAGGGCTTTAGATTTGGATATGTATGAATTGTATATTTGTTCAGGTATAGTTTTCCTGGTAAAACTGTTACAATATCCATTTATAATATTTAGATAAACTAGTAAAAACCATTCATTGTATCATTTTTGTTTGTATAACATCATTTTCGAAATATTTACAAATTACAATAATATGTTAAACGGTACCTTTATATTTTGTCGAATAGATATACTAAATACGAGTACATAGTTGCATTATATATACATATTTATGTTCATTTTCTATCTATAATAATTTTTGTTTGTTAATATTTAACTTGTCACGTAAAAAAACAATTTTCATTTCAAAACAATTTAATCTATTTTTTTATTTTTTATTTGTTTGTTTGGATACAATATAGTTTAAAATAAATAAGTTTTATATAAGATATATATACACGATTTTTTTTTGTTTATAGGTATTTAAAATTAAAGATTTGAAAATCCGAAAATGTACACATTATCAGTTTTTATTGATTACTAGCTCTTCAAGCTTCGCTGGGGGAGACCCCCGGACCACCCGAATAAGCTGAAAGTGCATTTCGGTCCACGGAAACTGAGTCGTTGTAATTATAAAAGTCGTGTCCGTGGGTCGGTTGAACCTCAAAAGTCAGAGAAGGTGATAAGGATCTGTGATAAGGGACTTTGGAGGTGTCGTTTCGAAAGCGGGAACATCTGAAAATCTACAAATCTGCGATTGAACGCGATTGATAATCGATACGGTCCAGTCTTGAACTCTTACGAATGTCGAAACCCAAAGTGTATATATGAGAGCCGTATTTGAGTGTCTAGCAAGTCAGTCACGTCCAGTGAAAATCGATTGACTTTCAACTTAGTCATCTAGGCAGCCAATCTGAGCCAGCATGTAAGGTTTGCGGACACGGTGGTGGGCAGCTGTAAGTGAGAATTTCCAAAAGCTTATAAAATGACATAATACATTAGCCCGTGCGGCTACTCGCTCGCTACACTGTTACGGACAATTAAAATTCAAAACAACAATCGATTCACAATGTAAAAAATCTCCTTGGATAGGTCTTGACTTAACGATACTGGTTAATTCTGATTTCACAATTGTCTGGATAATGGATTACAACTTTACTAGGTACGTGTTCGCCAAGCAATATATTAGTGTCAACGTTAGTATAACTTATAAAATGAGAATGAAAATAAATAATTTGTTAAAAAAAAATAGATTTGTATGTAAATTTCTATTTATTAACTCGATATCTAAATAAATTGACGGACATGACATAGATAAGTATGTGTTACTTTTGCAGACATAGAATTTAGAATTGTGTTTTATATTTCAGATATATTTTGTTAAAAAAATGTTATTAGTTATTACTACAGGTATATACCAATATATACAAATAAATAAAAACAATTATACAATTTAGTAGGTACATGATTTTATTAAACATATTATTAGGTATTGTTTTCTTTATTTAAGTGTAAGTGAACCACATAACAGAGCATACACCAAACAACATGAGAACAGTTGAACGTTGCTCATTGAATGTACATTATACAATTCAGTATTATCCTGGATTTATATTCTACATCAGCCAGCCTAAATATATATTATACTTTAATTGTTACATACTCTGTTTGAGTAAATTCAATTAAAATTAGTATAAAAAGTAATGAAAATCAAAACACACAGGTCGGAAAGTCAGTTTTGAATTTATTAATTTGATTTAACAATCATAATTGAATCATTTTGCATGACATTAATATGTGTTATACAGACACAGAATTTAGATTTGTTAATTCGCTGAGTTCAATTCCGTCAGTATAACTCAATGTAGATGTGCAGCTTGTGTAAAAAGAATAGCTATATGCCTATAAATTATCATATTATGTTTTATTAACTTATTTATTATAATTTGTTCACTATTTTATGATAAATTGCCTTATTTATATTGATTTTCGTATTAATGAATCACATAATAGAGTAAACATTAAATGAAAATTCAATTATTATATCAACCAACAGGTTGTGTGTAGGTTAGGTCAAGCCAGAAGCGGCGTGAGAGGGTGTTTCATGAGGCAATTGCCTCACAACCAATTAGGTGGCGACACCCCCGGCAACAGATATTAAAAATCACATATGGTAAATTATTACTATTTGTACTACTTTTATAATAATTATAATAATTAGTGCATCACGGTTACTGGAAATACATATTATGTCGTATAGTGTACAATAACGACGTGGTATCGTGGTAACACGTAACTCTATCATAGTTATTAGTATCATAGATAATTGTATCATTATTTTATTTACCTATAAAAAATGTTTCCCCCTCGTTGGTCATCCTGTCGGGCCGTCTCTGACAACACTATAATATAACCTCGCACTGTGATCATAACTCATAGAGTATTTACAATATTATGATTACTATAAATAAATTATAAATATAATTGCTCTATGACTGGTAGTGTGGTAGTCTCAATTTGGTGAATCGTAGTTTCACATAATGAAATTATGAAGTGACGATTTTTGAGCCAAAGTAACAGTTTGACAGTAGGGTCAGTATGTGGTTGTGGTAATTCAAATTCTGTAAATTAGAGTAGACATTTAGAGGCTTGCAAGTGCAATAAAAGAAGAAAACTAAATCACAATTACTTTGGTACCAATTGAAGTAATTATTTTAAATATAAAAATATTTCAGTCACAACTAAAACAAATAATTTATCAGGCAATTATTTTATTTTAATAACATTATTATTCAATTTTATTTTATTAATTTCAATTAAACTAACATTAGTTAAATTTATTTATTTAAAAATGTTTGTTTATGTTAATTAGTCTATGTCAAACAATAATAATTCTTATGACGTTGTAATGGTGTGGAACACCATTACAGTTTTCATATTTTTATAATTATAATATTACGTATAGTATTATATACTATACATATATCATAGATGCGCGTGTCATCTTTTATCCATTCTGTAATATCACGGAGTAAAGCTATATAATATATATGTATAACTATTTTGTACAGTAAACAAAATTTATAATAATCGTTCGGCCTACGTGACATTCGTCAGCCGAACGAAGTTAGTCTCGTCTCACCACTTGCTACATATATTGTTGCTGCCAGGTCATCGGTAAAATAAAATATTTTATATTACATTTTATTTTACATTTTAAAATATACATTAAATTATACTCGGTATAACTAGTTGTCTTGTCGAACATCCAAATCCTCTCATATTCCCCCATTTGGTACTGATCTATCACTACGGATACACAATTACACACCGTATACCAGTAGTGATAGACAATAATTTAATTGTTACCACGTAACAACGTATTGTTTTGTTAATTTTTATATGGCAGATTCTGAATCTTTAGAAGTGACAGCTATCGGTGAAATCACTTAAAGTGATGAATTAAATGTGTCAAAATGTGGATCAGGCAATGTATTTAATTTTATCCTAAAACACGGACATACGTGCTCTAAACTAATAGTAAAATAGTAAATCATCAATGTTGTGAATTAAAACATCTGTGTTTTTTGTGTTTACATATTAATATTATTTTATTATTGTCATTAACCACTGTAGCTCTCTATACCTACATGTTGAAATTATTTATAAAATATCTTAACTAAAATAAATATAACCTTATATAGGTACCTAAATAGTTTATAATTTATACCTACAAAACAAAATGTATTTATGTAATAAAATGAAACTCAACAATTCTATCGCTACTAAAATAACGGTGAAACATACATATTTTAAACAACATAATGTATAAGTATGTCTTTCATTATTAACAACAACAAAATTTCTAAGTTCTAAGAATACGAGATTAAATTTCGTATATGAAAAAATCAGTGAATTCATTTTAAGTATTTCACAAAAAGAGCAATATATTCAGCACACAAGATGGATAAAAAGAGAAAAACACCTCTAGTTTCATTTATTTTCATAAATTTAGGACGGCGCTTCAAGTAGGCAATTTAAGGTCAACACTTTAACACTTATGTTATACATTTATAATATTATTCTACATGTTATAGTAATCACAAAAGAAAATTAAAATTTGTAGCCGAACACATTTTTTTGTGTTACCTATATTACGTTTACTAAACATTTTGTGATTTTATAAAATTGTAAACTTGTTGTTGTAGCCTATAACCCATAAATAGAGTGAAGACTGATAGTTGGTTGTATTATTTTACTTATTTCAAATATGTGGAGAGATAATGAATTATGTTATTTACGATTATTACTGTAAATTATTCTATTTACATGATTGTGTTTGAAATATAGATTGTAATTTTACCCAAAAATAAAAAAAATTAATAAATATGCAATGATAAGTTTCGTAACGGAAACATTGGAGTAAAAATATGTATAACTATATAAGTGATGATCACCTATGCTTAAAGATGCAGGATTTGTCTCAGTACGGGAGCCTTAAATTGCTAGTATTAATATATTTTAAGATACAATGTAAACCTTTAAAAAATATTTTTAAAATCGATGCAGCCAATGGCCTTAGATGCCGATGCTTTAAATAATAATAATAAAAAATATACGAAACTGAATAACGTAAACTTTATAGTTTTGATAAAAGTAATACATAATAAAATATTTACCGCTTCTACTACTATCAAGTAAATCCTATTAGTAGCATTCTAAACACTTTTAAACAACGTTGATTCGGCACATTAAAACTTTTATTATGATATATATAACTATCCGTAAAACGTTTATTGGATCTGTATGAACCGTTTAATATAATTTTTTTTAATGTATATTTTATGGTACAAAATTATTATACATTATCAATGGTACATAATGCATAAAATAAAGCGATAATACAATAGCCTACATAATATTTAGATGAAGATTATCGAAAATTAGAATACTGAGATGTGTGTCTATTGTCCACACCATCATAACTATAGTAATACTTTATACTAGGTACTTGATAAAGAACATATATCATTCGAAAAATATTTATACAGTGAGATATTTTTTATTCGATTATTTTAATACACCTAATATTATATTAACTTTTTGTAGTTTTGATTTATTTAAACGACATAACAATTAATACCAAGACACTGCTATTAAAACTTGTAGGAAAAACAAATTCATTATTATGTGAGTAACCACTTTGATTCCTAAATATTAAGTTATTATGCATACTTAGAACTATTAATATAATATATTAGTTCTTTCATTTTATTACTGTTCAAAAATCACTAGGTATACAATTTTATATGATATAATTTAATATAAATCATTTGAAACTAAAAAAAAAACAGTTTAAAAACATTTTCAAATTTCGAATATTTGATGGGGAACAAATTAATATGTTGTAGACCATTTTACGTCATAAGTCATAAAAGTTATTATTATATTTAAGTTACTTACTTAATGTATGGTTATAGAGTACGAAATTCAAGAATTCCAGTATTCTTAGTCAAATATATTTTTAATTCTGTTTTTGACACAATATGTCAACTATATAATTCTGGTGGTAGTGATTATTTAATTAGTATTTTTATATTTTCTTGATTCTTTAAAACAACAAAATATTGTATAATAGTATTAAATTGATTAATTCATAATTTAATCATACTATATTATTATAATCTAGTTTAATCAATAGAATCACATTAGTAGAAACTTAGAGGCTTGATTAATTTGTATAAATAGGTATATTATTTTTGTTGGCATAACTATTTATAAGGTAAGTGTAGAGGTGTAGAGCCATTTTTAAAAGATAACCTTTATCAAAGAACATATAAAACTATTTAATACAAATTACCATATGAATATTATATATTTAATTTAAATTAAATTAATAATTAATATAGTATTTATTTCAAGCGTTCTGCAAGCAAATTTTTTTTAAAGATAATTTATTCAACGTAGAACTGTGAATTTAAAATTCAAATTTAAACATATTTAAATCTTAGAATTTTAAGTTTTACATAAAGCATAATAATACGTACCCATTGTTTTTTGTAATTACATTATGTCATTGTAGGTATGTAATTGGTTAGTCTAATTTAAATTTTTCTGAATTCTAAATATTTATCACAGGTCTGAAAATTATCAACGACGACGAAGTATCTTAAATATCAGGACAGTAGTCAAAGTATTGATGATTGTTTTAGTAACAGTTGTTGGAATGTTATTGTACATATGGTCTAATCAGACTCAAAAGTCATTTTCGGTTTATCGTATGATTTATAATGATGATAAAACCGAAAACCACGACACATTTTTATTAGTAACCAACGCAACGGTTATCACAGTCACTACCGACGCCTCATTCGACGTGACACATGCTGCTCAAAAACGAAAGAAATTACAAATGGCCGAAGAGGATGTGGCTGTGCCGATAATAAAAGAACACGCACTTAGTAATCACTCAACCTTCGAAGACTTGCAAGCTAACAGTAGGTCTCTGAACACGGATATAGTCAAAGAGAATAATTTCGTAATTAGACCAGTGATATCCAATAGTAAAACTCCGCCAGTCCATGGAAACGTTATAGAAGAAAAACATTCCAACAATGACGAAGTATACAAAAATATCAGCACTATAGTCAATGATAGGTTGTATCATACTACGAAAAATGAGTAAGAAATCTGTGTTTAAAGGCAATGTTTTAGTTTATATAGTTACCAAAGTCATAGGCACAAATCGCAGGAGGACTAAAAGGGCCTTAGCCCCCCGAAAAATATATAACTTTTAATAGTATGGGATCGACCCCCCCCCCCTCACGTACATTGATGTCAAAAATGTTAGCCACCCCTGAAATTTTAATTGATTTCTGCCTATGACCAAAGTAAGTAGGTAGCTACCTAAAAACTTATGTAGGACATCACACTTTTTTCATGTTTCCATTTGTTTGAAACTATCGCAATCGATACTAATTAGAATTTGTTTTTATTGTTAAAAAAAATAAAGTAAGTATATAAAATTCGTTTTAATTTGTAATAATTACAAATAACTTAAGCAGTTCTCAGTATTAAAAACTGACAAAGTCATTAATAGCACATTATTGTATCAGTAACGTCTGAGTTAAAAATGGAGTTGGGCTTGTAAATATGTATTAATAATATATAAAAGAAAAATAATTTTTTATTTAGCTATAATATAAGTTATAACATATTACAGGAATAAACTTTACGACATCGCTGTATTACTATACAAATTATAAATTTTGGGTAGTACATTTGGTATGAATGATATAGGTTCTTAGCTAACATTATAAATCTTAGTAAATATCGTATGGCTTCCATACAACCAATTGTATACATATTTATTAAAACTGTATGTAATTTTTTATTAGATCTAATCAAATGATTCATTATGGATATTCTACAACTGAATCAAGCACACCCTTAGTCGGAGAAGACGCTTCAAACAGTTATTATAATGTTAACGATTTGGCTTACAATGTGGATGACTATGGCTATAACGAAGTTAAAATTCCTCTGGAAAGTATCAAATGGACGACTAATGGTCAGTCAGAACAGTTACATATTGATGAGTTATCATCATCGGGATCCGTTGGAGGAAGCGGTAGTGGTAGTAATAGGCAAAATTCTTATTATGACTTGAAGTCACGATATCCCACTGGTCACAGTATTTACTACAAACCATTGATAACCAAACCCCAAAAAATGTATCATTCATCAAAAGGATTGGATCAACCGTACAAAAAGACAATACCCCAGTACCCGATTTCTAGTAAAATGAATTTGAAAAATATCGGATTGTTGCCGCTTATTAAACTAGGGATTCTCAAACTAAAGATGATTGGTTTTGTACAGTTGATATTTCTAATTGGTTTCAAGTTTAAATTATTGATGATAGCAATATTCTTTAAATTCATATTGTTTTTGAAACTCTTGAAATTTTTCAAAATACTCATTTTACCGGTGTACCTTTTTTCGTTGTTTCCAATCCTAGCATCACTGTTTAATCGTATGGTTACTATGCAAGCGTCCGGCGGACTTAGCAGTAGTAGTTCGTCAGGTTCCAGTAGTCTTCCCGGTAGTATGTCTAGTGGTGGTTTCTCATCGGGTAGCTCTGGTGGTGGGTTCTCATCGGGTGGTTCTAGTGGTGGGTTCTCATCGGGTGGTTCTAGTGGTGGAACTCTACTTCCAGTTTCACCAGGTAGCTCTAGTGGTGGTACTCTGCTTCCATTTCCACCAGGTAGCTCTAGTGGGATTCCAGGTTTAACAGATAATACTTTACTTCCGAGTTTATCACGTGCCTCAAGTAATAAATTACTTTCCAACTTGTCAGCTAAAAATATAATTCCAAAAGGAAAACCGTCTCAATATGATGCTTATATACTTTAGGACTCAAATTTCTTCAATAGACATTACTATAAAACGTTGGATTTATTTGATCCTACCTCATAAATCTTCCAAAAATTACTGAATTCGGAAAAATGTGTGAAGAGCTTGTCGAATTATGCAGGTGAGAAAATTGGAATTATTCCCTTATGGACTAATTGGTTAGAACTAATATTGTGTTTTTAAATCTATCTCGCTCCGAGATTTGGTCTCCGTCGCTGTCATTACAACAGTCGTCTTCGGCACCTGAAGCACCATTAAGTCAACGTCAACCATCATCACTCTCCCGGCAGTAGCGGATTTGTTTCACCCTCTACCATGGTAGTGATCAATCTCCCGAGAAAACACGTCCACGACTTTCATCCGCCCCGTAGGACCTGTCGTGGAAACGCTATAGAGGCGACCAGTGGCCACACAAACGTACCAAAATCAACTTCATCCATTCCCCAAACCAAGGCTCGCCTGATGTCTTTTTGTATATAATATATTAATATCGTCTTTTGTAATTTAATATGTCTTGTAATTGCTATTCTGTGCAAATGTTTTTTTTATGATATTTGATAATATTCATCTTTTCAGTATTTTTGTTTCAAAATTGTAGTAAAGCATTACGTAAACATTCATAATAAAAACATAATTTTGATACCTAGACTATTATATATATCTTGATTTTTTTAGACTATATGTATTTGTGCCACTTTTTGTTTTATCTCGAATCTTTTGTGCATTTTGTTGGTTTTTATTTCTAAATTTTAAACAACGACATGTAACAATGAGATTAACTTCATAAACTATTTTTATTATATTTCTATACTCAAATTACTTAAGATTATTTAAATATTTATTATAAAATTGTAATACTGTTATAATTTATTATTCGCTATTTATTTTTCCAGTAATAAAGTTATTTCGCTTACACAGTGAACTGTTGTTTCTTATTTTTCGTATTAAAGATTAATATTTTAATTTATTTCGACAGAACATAAGGCCGCACTAAACATACTCGTGTTCACATGAGACTCATAAACTATTACATATGAACCAATATTTTTGTTGTTACCTATCAAATCTCTATAATATGTACTGAGGTTTTTGGCCAAGTGAAAGTATAAGGTTACTGGTGTGGACGTTAGGTGACATTTTTTCTCACAAAAGATGATGACAGAAAGAAATAAAAAAAACAAAAATTTTACCTCATTTTAAAATCAATACATTCCTCATCACTCCTATCCAAAGTTGTTTAATATAAATCAATTTTATCAAATAAAAATAGTTATGAATACATTAGCTATCAAAAGTCTTAACATTTTTTTTTATTTTTCATAAATTTACAAAACAGTCTGGTAATAATAAATTAATAACACAACATAATATTAAAATAGCAACTTGATCTGTTTGAAATATTTTTCAAATAAAATACATATGTATTACAATTGAATATTCAAAGAGCCTAGTTTCATAAATATATCTGACTTTGAATATTATTTTAATCGGACAAATGTTTTCAATATGACACTAGGTGATACGAATAATAATATAATAGTATGTACAACATAACATCTGTCCAATATGTACACTATTTTTTCATACATGTATCATACTGCTTCAATGCCTCGTAATACATCAATAGGTAGTATGAATTTGCATTCGGATAGATGATTACTTTTTGCGTAGATGTTATCGTGACTATGTAAAACTTATGGGTCGAACTACCAAAACTGCATATATATCATAAAATGTAGATACTTACTTTAAATTAAAAATTAAAAATTAAAACATAATATATATTTATATAAGTCGTACATCCGCATGTATACCAAATAAATATAAATTAATAATATTATTATTCTAATATCAATATTATATGACAGGGGAATAAGGTTTTTAGGTGATTTTGAATCGTCATGAATTCCGAACTTTAAAAATTATTCATGTCATTAATAACCATCAATAATATCAAACATGTATTGTACATTATACACTTTGAAAAAATGCAACATAATTTTTATATTGAAAAAAAACACATTATTGACTATGTTTACAGATTTTGTTATATGTCATAAATTATAATAAATGTATAATAGTACAAAAAAATGCATTTTATTTTTATATTTCTAAACATAAATATACAACACCTTATATCAACGTTTTATCGTCCGTTTGTAAGTTACCTGTAGGTACAAAGTTATACAGTTAGGTACTATAATAGATTGTTTACAATTAAGATATTTAATAATTAATATTATTGTCAATATTAAGATAATTACTTATTGTCTAAGTATTTAATAAAGACTCTCACTATCCAAATTAATATAATATCAAAATATTAAGGTTATCAAATTTTTTTAAAAAATATTTTTATTTTTATTATTAACATTGGATGTTATTAGGATTGAGCATTTTAGAGTAAGTTTACTACTGTGAGGGAGGGTATGGTTTGTTAGAACACGTGTAGGTATATGTGCCAAGGATTTGTCACTAAAATCCAGGTGGTCACCATTTCGATAATTAATGACACCGGCTGATGGATGATCTCAAAGTACATTAGTGACTGAGGCCAAACGCCGAGCTACACTAGGCCAAATTATTTTTAAATTTTATTTGTAATTAAAGTGTATAGCTTTGTATTTAAATACGTTCGAAAACAGAAAAATTAACGCGTTCACAGAGTGAGTATTCCTAACTTAATAAATAATTTTTTTTTTTTTCTTTATTAGTAATACACAATCTGTACACAATCGGCACAATAAGAGTATGAGGTGAGACAATAAAAAACATGAAATTATGAGCTAAGAAGCCACCCACCGATGACACTTATGTAAATAAATAATAAAAATGATTAGAGTCGACATGTGATGTAACAATAGATAATCTATTTATCTAAATTCGCCAAGGATAATCATTATTACTATACACCCTTACAATACACCTGCTGAATGGTCATTATAATTTATAAGAACGTAATAACAGAAGATGCAAATTAGCATATACAACATAGGAATTTCGCGAGATCTATAAATTTTAGTCATTACACGAGGATTGTCACTGAGTAGTATTATTATGAAAGATTTCTAATTTATACTGCATGTACCTAAAATAATGAATAGAGAATTTTTTGTCCCTGAAATAATACATTTTTCACAATCCCTCCTCTTTGGAAACAGTGACATAACAACCATCACTGGTATACATATGTATACCTACCATAATAAGGAGCGCTAAAAGTATCCCCAGTCAAAGCCTTTGCCTAGCCAAACGATTTGATTTTAAATAAATTATAATATGATTTAATCTACTGACACGTTATTTTAACCAATTTGATCCAATTATATAGCTGCAGTATACTTTGAAACGCTTGACCTGTGATTCAGTTATTAAGTATTTGTACAGTTATACATATAGTGACATAAGATAATTAAGATAATAATATTATAACAGTTGTACGAACGGAAATTGCATATTATTGCGAACCGTATGTGCCTGACCGTTTAGGATAATTTACTATCTGTACATTATAACAGTGAAATTAATTGACCATTAGGCATGGATGAAACAATGTATGTTATTTGGGTGGGCCACATACCTTTTAGATTATCAGAGTTTATTTGTTAATGAACCAGTCATACAATATGCCTAGTGAGTATATCAAACATCAGCAATTCCAAAACGTTGATGAAAGACTTATCGAATATTTTATATTATATTTACAGCGGAAGTAGAATTATGACTTATCTTTGAAACAAATCTATGAAGCTTGAATGAGGTACTAGTCTATACTACCAAACATGTAAGATCACTTTTTGTATTAAGTATTATTATTATATTCAGCAATTTTGCTGAGTGTTGTATTTAATATGTTTAAAAAAATAATTAGGTTTTTTTTATTGAGAGTCATTGTACAACTATAATAATTTAAAGTTTATAAACATTAAATGATGTTAATAATAATATTTCTAATTAATCATTTACAAAATTTAATTTGTCTTCAGAGTTAGTGGTAACTGGTATTTATTTTTGGATGCGTGTATTCCCATGTGAACTATTGATTTTTTGACCATTGTTATATTTAAGTGTAAATTGTGCACTAAAATATTTCATTTTTCGATATATAGTACAAACCTAAATTTATATTTTAATTGATAGTTTTGAATTTTCAAACATAGTCCAATTATAGGTATACTATGCTGATGTAGAATCGTGTGCATTAAAATGTTCTAACTCAAACATGCATATTTTGTAGGCCATACAATCACCGAAGACCAAAATTAGTCATCAACATATTAACAATATTGGGAATGATCATAGTGACTTCAGCTGTAACGATACTGTGTATACGATTCGGTATTGTAATGACAACAACTCCGATCCAGGCAAGTAAAGGTCATCACACGACTAATGGCAGATCAATCTCTAACAACCGTAGTAAGCTTCTGGTTTCACCAGACACTGCTGTAGAGCTAAATGCGACTAACAACTCAATTTCTCGAGATCAACAAGGAATGCGGATTAACCTCCCAGGCTCTACTTTAACGGGGTCTGAAAATCAATCACTGGCGAATTATTTGTCCTTCAATCATTTGGAGCAGGAGAATAGTGGATCTCTGTCAGACATAGGTGAAGCAGGCAGTAGTTTAGTTAAACCATCCACATCCAAGAACGTGGCTCCACCAACTGATCTCCGAGATAAATCAATCAATACAAATCTATACAACGGAAACGGTTACATCACGACAATGGGTGACAACAGTGAGAACAATGATGAAGATGATAATAATAACATGTATCAGATAAATGGCAGGTAAAAATCTACATACCTACGTCTAGTGATTTGTTTTGGTATTTAAGGAACAACTTCCTCTATTTTTCCTTTAGATTAGTATAATAATATAATTATTATTAATTACAGTAGCACAATAACTATTATAGTCACTAATTCACTATATATAGTGATACATTAACAATATTAAATAAAATAAGTATAAATTATCGACAGTAGGTAGTTAAAATCTAACATGTGTTTTAACAATTTTAATCTTAAGACAACTGTTATGGGAAAACTAGTTTGAGTTGATATCAGTATATAAGTATTACAATTTTATGAATTAGTTATTCAAAAATTAAATGCTCATAACAATTATATATAAGTATAGATTTTGATATAAATATCGGTAGTTTTATAGATTTATATGTATTTATAGAATTTATACTATCTACCTATCAATTATAATTAAACTAAAATAAATATTATACCTAAGGAAATAACCCTTTTTTTTGCAAAGTACAGTTTCTAAAATATAGTATTATAATCTATTATAAAATAAATCAAATATTCTAATAGAATTAATAGAATTAATTAAATATTATAGTTGTTACATAAATTGTACACAAAACCCAATCAAATAAATAAATTAACAAATTAATTAATTAATTAATACCACTGTATAAAACTATTTCTTGCAAAAAATATATCTATTTTAAAATTATTTAAGAGTTTATATATTTATTTTTGAAGTGAATAACTTCTTTAGGAGTGGTAGAGTAAATCGAATTAAAGGGCGTAGCTGTTGAGATCAAAAAATGTTACTTGCTCGACAATAAGGGTCCAATTAGACAATCGGATTTTGCTGGCCGGTCACTGTGTTCCTCCTAGCACAGTAAATATTCCGGAGCTGGTGACTGGGCAAACTGACCGGCTGGCGAAAACCATCACTCTCTGTTTACTACAATCTAACTCTATACACGAATATATAGAAAACCAGTCGGCAGACGCCGGCCAGCAAAGACAGGTCGTCTTTTTCAACTATAAGGTTTCTACAGTAATACATAATAATAAATTTGTCTTATCTTTTTATAACTATAATAAATTAATTCCAATCGCACATTTATTTTTCCATTAAAAACTTAATATTTTACAATGAATATTTTCTTTTATACTGCCTCTGTAAATGAGTTTCACTTCATTCGTGAGTTCTATTATAACACGCACAATTTACTATTTTTATTACGAAACTGAAAGTATCAAGTTACTCAAAAGTTCATGTTTTGTTTATTCTATAGAGGTTTGATTTATTGAGATTTTGGTGCTGTAGGTATAATAATATTATGTAATAATAATAAAACAACAATTTATTATTCTCTGGATAAATTATACTATTATTAAAATACTGAATTTAATTTAGACAAACAGTATATTATTACAATTACTATTATAGTTTTACATTTTTATTTGTTTTTTGACAGGCAAATCAGTCGAAGAAAAATAAATTACAACCATCAATTGAATACAAATACAGCAAAATACGCGACGATAGCAGAAGAAGACGGTTCGAATGGATATAAAAATGCATATGATTTAACATACAATATGAATGACTATGAACACAAAGAAAATGAGAATCCCGATTATGAGCCAGGGTGGACCAGCGCTGGTCGACCCGAACAGGCGCAGGGGTCATTTTGGTCAGGATCGAGTGGTAGTTGGGAACCACCGCCGTACGAAACAGGAGAAGGATATTTAGTTGATCAAGGTCCCAGTCGCAAGCCACTTGATAAACCATTGAGTAGCCCAACTAGGAGTAATTTAAACACATTGCAACCAAACTTGGACAACATTAATTGGAGAACAATCGGCATATTGGCGCTTTTCAAACTCGGCCTTGCCAAACTACAGGCAATCGGTTTCTTAAACACATTATTTCAAATCGGATTATCGTTCAAATTATATATGACAGCGGTATTCTTTAATTTTCTGTTAATTATGAAACTCATGAAGTTTTTCAAGATTCTGTTAATACCACTGCTTTTGACACGGCTCCTGCCATTATTCATGCAATTACTTATGATACCAGGACGATTATTAGATTTGATGAGACGAATGAACAATAATAATATGATGCCAGCAAGTCAATCGGGAGGATCACTTCCTGGTCAAACAAGTGGATTACTTCCGAATCGACAGCCAGGGACACAACCGGGTGGTGTACGGCCGGGTGGATTACTACCGAATCAACCAGGAGCCGCCTTGCCAGGTAATACACAAAGGGGTGGCATGTTTAGAGCGACAATTGAAGACACGCCAACAAGTGAATCCGCAGCGGTCAGTTATAATATTGCCAATAAAACAAACAATTCAGTTTTTAAGCTCGAGGACACATATTTGACTGACAGACAGAGCCACGAATCAATACAGTTATCAGATCCTACATTAGACATTTTTCAAAAACTATTAGATTCAGAAAAATGTGTGGAAAGAATAGCTTGTCGAATTTCTGTGGCTGAAAATATAGGAAACGTACCCATTTGGATTAATTGGCAAGTACCTAAACCGATCTCATTACACATTATAATACATATTATTATGTATAATTTGCTTTATTTTAGGGTGTTACATCGCGTACATCAGCTTATTCCCAGTGATAAACTTGAATCATATCTAAAGGCATATAAAGATGTGAACAATGCAATTCATGCCAAGTCATCAGTCCCGGATAATTGGATTACATGGTGCTTGGAACATTACAACTGTAATATTAGTGACAATACAAAAAACGTGTCAAACGCAAGACAATAATATATTTTATTTTAAATGTAAATTTATATACAGTCGACTCTCAATAATAATTCGAAGTTATGAGCCTTATGGAAAACGTCAAAATACCGATAGAGATTGAATTACTGAGTGGTTCAAAATATTGAGAAGGAAAAAAAATAAATTCGAATTACTGAGCTATGAAAAAGCGTACCTACGATAGTAACATTCGATAGTTATCGGAAATTATAGTACGCATTTATACAAAATCGTAAAGTAAATTATTAACGCTAAGATTAAAAGAAATAGATTTTGGTGAATATACTTTGAATTGACGAGCTTTGAACTTCGAATTGTCGTGTGTTGACGGCTAGTTTTCTGTACAATTTTTCTACTGATAATATTGTTCAATATACCTACATGTATTTTTCATTGCCTTTGTTCGAATTACTGAGAGATTTTTAAATGGATGTGCAATTACTTCAAATCACCGAACGTTTCGAATTATTGAAGGTTTGATTTATCGAAAGTCAGCTGTATTTGCTTGTAGTCATAAGCATTAGATGTAGGTATAGTATTATAAACTATTTTGGTATGCCAAATATGTTTTGACTTTTGAGTCCTGAAGTGTTGAAATAATGTTATCGTTTATTAATATTTAATAATAAAATGTTTTGTGTAATTTAAATTAAATAAAATAATATTAATATACCTATAATTGCTCACATGAGTATACTACTTTGTAGATACATGACATTTTCACTGAATGTTTATATCACCATTTTCCATACACCACACAATTTTCAAAATATTTTGACTTCGTGTTGAACTATTTATAGGCATATGCAATTTTTGATTATTATTATTATTAGTTTTTTTTTAAACTTATGTAGATTAAAAAATTGAAAACTTGTAAATGTAATACAATAGGGTTCATCGTAAATTGTTGTTAGTGGAAATAAAAAAAAAATGAGCTTAAATCCACAAACATTTGTTATGAAAGTTTGAATTTAGAATTTCACTATTATTTATTATTGTTATACAGCGAACAGAAATTAATTTTTTTAGAGGAAAGAATACGATAAACGAAATCAACACTTTATTGGCGAAGAAATGTCGCAATCGGACAAACGCAGTATAAAAATTACAGAGAATATCTCCTGGACAACGAAAAACACACGTTTTGTAGACGATCCATTTTATTTCCAAAAACAATATAGTATACTTAATAGATGTATACTGCATATAATAAAATTTGCTCTATTTTTACAATTTTTATACTTTTAAATTTTAATAATAAGAGTAATACAACTAGGGGTCTTAATAGTTTAATACTTGTTTGTTGGTAAACGTTGATTTTAATTATATTTAAATTATTATTTTCAATGAAATATATGATTTTGGATAGTACCTAAATGTAATTTATATCTAGTATTGGCACAAAACTAAAATACAATTTAAACATTTTTTGGTGTTTTAATTTTTAATTTTTTAATTTTCAAACATCGAAGTTATTCTTATGGAATAAAATTATAAACAGTATTTTTGCTTACACAATTACACTAGAGAAATATTTGTATTTGTTCATTATTAGGTATACTGCTTATAGGTAATGCACATATGCACATAATAGTATGTACCTATATTATATAATATAATATACAGTGGATTCCGCTTAATGTGGGCACGTTGGGACCAGCCCTGTTTGCCCACATTAAACGGTTGCCCATAAAAACCGAAATTAGTTTTTAAACAAAATTACAGTTAAAAAAGTTTTTATTTGTATTATCATATATGTAATTGAAAAAATTTTAAATAATTACTAGGTATACAAATAAAACTAATTACATATAATATACTAAATATAATTAATCTTTGAATGTAGAAGGTGTACTTTAGATAAACACAATCTCATAGATATTAATCATCAACAGACTAAGAATAGGTCACACCAGAATAACTCATGGTTACGAATAGTGATGGGAATAATCGAGAGAAAATAATCGAGTAACTCGATTATTGGTATTTATCGAGTAACTCGATTATTAGGAAAAATAATCGAATGATAACAGTAATTACTAATTAATAATTACTATTTATTAGTAGTTACTAGTTACTAATAAAATACTAGTAATTCGAGTATTATTTTATTCTACTCATCAGTTAATGCTTAGAAACCATATTAATATCTCTAATATTGTAATATCTTAAAAAAGAAAAAATGCTGTTAAAATCTTAAATCCTGTAACCATACCATAACTGTGACTAATGGCCATGTAGCTGCCGAGTTTTTTTCTTGATCAATAAAAAAAAAAAAAATAAGTGTAATAATGAATTTGTATTAACCATGTTTTTAATTTTGTATTAATAAGTTGAATATTGGTTGATTTTTAATCAATAATGTTTAATGTTTTGATTATTTTAATCGAATGAATATATCAACCATGACGAAATAATATTTCGATTATTTTAATCGAGTGAATATCTCGAATATAGTAATATCTCGATTACTAATTACTCGATTATCGAAATCATTCGATTATTCCCATCACTAGCTTACGAAATGTCTTGAGGAAGCCCCCCGCACGTATGACTTGGGGGGTCGAACTCACAATAAAACACGGAATGTTTTGAATACCTCGATGCAAGGAAACGCAACATTTATCCGGTGACTTATATGACATACTTGGACCAGTCCTGCCACCACCTAACATATTCGTGTTCCTCTAGGTGACGGAATTGAACAAACTCATCTAACCTTCTGAACAACACAACTTTAAAATTGAAACTTTAATAATAATTTTTTATATTATTATGTCACACTTATTTGTAAAAAAAAAATGTATCTTACCCAATGGCCTAGTTGCAGAGGGTGAAAAAAATCTCATAGATACGACGAAACCCGATTAAACTAGTCCTTTTTAAATACATATGTGTATATTCTAACGCTATGATAAAATAAAACTGGCCACATAAACCGAATCAAGTTTCCATATTACGCGATTTTATTTAACATCGTTAATATACATTTGTATTGAGACCAGACATGTTTGCCCACAATAAGCGGATGCCCATATTAACCGGTGGCCACATTAAACGGAATCCACTGTAATAGTTCGGAATAAATTAAATGTATTAATTTTTAACTTTTGGTGTTCAATGTGGTACAACAATGATTCATTTACCGAGTAGCGGGAAGATGTATGAATTTAAAAAAAAAAACTGTACTTTGATATTACAAAAAAAAAATAAGCAACGTAGTTACAACTGCATACTACGAGTAGAATTATAACAAATTAATAGACTGTAATTAATTAATTAAGTGACATTTTCTTTAACAAAAAATATTATAATCAAAAAGTCCCACCTATATTTTTTTTAGTACTGATTTACGAAAACTGGTATTATTTGTTTAAATATCTAATTATGCAAACATTTGAAAATAAGACTCTTTTAAAAAAAATGTTATATATTTTCAATATTTTTTAACTGCTATAATACGGAACAAATTAAAAGGGCCTTGTATAGTTGTATTAAATTTTCAAGCTTTTTATTCACAAAAAAATTGTATTTTAAGTGAAAGGAAAAAAATAAGTCAACAGTTTAAAATATTTATAAATATAGCTCATCAATTCTAGGTTCAAATAAGAAATTACATTTATTTGCTAAAAAATATTCAAGTCCCTGGAATTATTTATTTTTAGTTTTTTAATATAGAAACTAAAAAATATTAAAAACACACATCATTGTATAACCAATACATTCATCTTACTGATGAGAATCTAATTTATTGCTTTTTAACTATGTTGTGCTTTGTGCAGGGGCAAAGTGGCCAGTCTGGAAATGTGAATTTTCTAGATGGCCTGGCCATTTTGTTAGATTTTTTTTAAATTTAATTTAATTTACAAAATATTATCAAATGCGTTAAAAATTTGTTTCTATTAAATTATAGTATTACAAATATTATTAATGAAATAATAGTACATGGTAATAGCCTCGTACAATCGTATGAGAAAACTTTGGAGATCAAGTTACAAAATATTTGGTACATAAATATAGACATTAAATAAAATCAAAGCAGTGTGTTGGTTAACAGGCTGGTTATTTTTATAATAAAGCATGGAAATAGATAATAATATTATCATAAATGCAGCTGGTGAGAAATCTAAGATATTATCTAAATTATTATTATAAGTGTACAACTAATCTTTTTTATTATATTGTTTATAATTTATTTATTTATTTATTACTTATAACCTTATACCTACTATACCTAAACCATCGAAATACAATATATAATTATTAATACATATATTTCGTTGGTTTTTTTCTATTAAACTATACCTACTAATTTAATTTCTCAGACTTTCGGGTATTAGTGGTATATTAATATAATGCGTTAGAATACATAAGTTCAAAGAAATAGCATAATAGTGATTGAAATACTTTTATAATAATGAAAGTAGTGATGCAAATAAACCTACTTATATAGTGTACTATATTATACAAATACGTAAGAGTAAGATGATTTTTTATTATACATGTATTTATTTACACCAAAAATACACATCATTGTTAAATCAGTAAGCTCAAAATCTAAAAGACTTCCACTTATGAAAAGTATACGAGTGCAACAGTATAATGAAAACCAAAAGACAAATCTTCATTTAATCTTCGTTTAAGTATTATAAAATTAAATTAATTATTTAAATTATGGTATACTTTTGGCAAAACTCGCAAATAGGGGGTGCTTCAGTGGCTAAACCTTCTCAAACATTTCTCAAATTGTTTGTAAGTTATTCGATATTATTATAGTAAATTAGTAGGGCTTCAGCCCCCCTACCCAAATCACCTACGATTTATGAGCCTATGCCTCTGTGTAGGTATAGCTGTTATATCAAAAATAATAGGTTAGTAAATAACCATTGGAAAATAAACGTACCCGAAATCCTGGTGCTTGTCAGTTAAAATAATAATAATGTGGACACTATGTGTACATTCGTGAAGTTATGGACTTATAGTTAGAACTCGTGATAAAAAAATATTTACAAAATTAAATGTTAGATGTTTAAAAAAAGTAGATGTATGATGCAAGATACGGAAATATTTTTTGACTGCCTGTGGGTATAATTGTTTGAGTATAATATTATTATCCAAATACACGTAAGTGTAATTAATATTTTTTTAATTTGTATCAGCACACGTTTATTGAATAATGATGGAGTAGATTTAAACCTACTGGTTGGACAGACGATATGACAATTGTGTGTATATCTATTCGTTGTCTTCCCTACTACATAATATTGTTTTACACTCAAGTCGTATAGTGTAAAGCTCACTCCTCTACACTTACTTGTCCACAGTCACAAAAAACTTTCAACCACACGCTCAAAAATGTTAATGTATAAAAACCAGGTGTCAAACATATTTATAGTAGGTATTTAATATTATTATTTTCATGATCAGAAAATAAAATTCGTTGCTAAATCATATATTATTATAGCATTTGTTGAAGAAAAAATAATATGTTATAACTGCAGTAAGTAGTTGACCTATACTTATTTAATAATTGTAATGGTTATTATTGTCATTACATATTTAACCATATTTTAAAGATATAACTGTACCTAGTCAAAACAGTAATCGAAACCAATCGCACAAGTCTATGAACCGTTGAAGATAATGTGTCGACTGTACTGTGCAATTTGTAAACGGTGAAAAATTATTAATCATTAGCTATGGTAAAAATAAACCAAATGTATTTTAATTTGTTCAGGTGGGGATTACAAAATATACACACACATTCTATTCACCAAAAAAATAGTAATATAACTTACCGATTAAACAAAACATCTACGAAGTAAAGTGAAGGGACTTGTTCTTATATTTGTATTATTACTTTTTCATAGATTTAGATTAGCAATCCACATAATACAATGAATTAATATATTATTAACAAATAAACCAATGGAACTTGGATGATATACTAATCATTTCTCAACAATGTAAGTAAGCCTTTCAAATATCTTCGATTATATTATTTATAACTATCGTTAACAATATAATATAAAAATAATTGAATTAATGTTAATTTTTGTTTAATTAAAATTTCTCGGAGACGATTTATACATTAATAAATTGTTGGCTCTCACGATAATATGTATTGTAATGTATGTATTCAACTGTAACATAGCATACAGATGATGAAAAATGTCAGTTTTAGCAGCTATGAGAACATAATCTTTATTCTATATCGATAAATAGTCGGTTTTCGAGTTGGTCAACGTCTACCAAATGTGATCGATTATAATGTTATTTGTTTCTATTATAGTAGAGTAGCGTAGATTAGGTGCATAAGAATTATATTTTTCCCAATCCTCTTGGTGTGCTAGAATGTGTTAATTATTCTCCTCAATGCTCCGCTGTCTGCCTTACTCTTCAGTCTTCGGTCATCGATTACTTACCTATATCGATAATCTCGTTGATAATCGATTGAAGTGTACAATAAACTGTTCATTAGCGAAACAAACAACAGTTTAAGTTGTATATAACATAAATGCACTTTAAAGCTAGTGTTGTAACCCAACTCGTTTGGCTAGCCATTCTCATCGTTTGGATGCATTTTGCACAGGCCTGGGTCCAATCAAAGACGAACACTTGCGGTTTGCATTAGAGTCACCATAATCCTTTCACTGACGATTGCAGCAGTGGCAATAGTAGCAGCGACATTTCTGTATGTCGTGTTGGGTCAACAGACGCCCGAAACATCGAAGCCGGTCCAAGACCTCAGGGGCGATCGACCAGTAGCAAACACACGGGCGGCGTCTGGGGAGCGACTGATCCCTGAAAACCGGTCAGCCGTGGAATACCTGCCACCTAATCGCCGATCGATGGACGGCCGTCCGAAAGCGTCCATCGGTATCCGACTGCCATTGGCCGACAGTGGCATCCATGACATGTCGGCCAGCCGAAATCGATACCCGAATAACCATAGGTACAGCACCAGTGACGGCGTCGTGGCATCTCCTGAAAATTACGACGAGACCGGCGTCACATTCGACGCAAAAACGCAGCAGAATTTCAACAGGTAATGTGTATTACGTAGTATGTATTCGTCCCATTGACCAATCTGTATGAGGTGGGCACCTTCCATTCCACGTTTCCGTATACAAAAACCATAATGTGAAACAGAAATTGTATGTGTTTCTTAAAAGAAAAAACTACATTGTAAATAAAAGACACCGTCCAGCACTCCAGCTACATAATTAATGACTATAAATAATTTTTTTTTCACAATCAAATTATGATATCTGCCCATCCAATAGTTTTCATTTATATGCATATAGAAAAATACATTATAAATAAACTAATTTTAATTTGAAAAAATATAATTAATTACAATAGTATCAAATACTGAAATATATAACCATTTGAAGACTCACTTTATTATACTGGGTACATCTTATGTCATTGACCATTGTAGGTAAGTTTTTTTAACAATTATGGATCGTTAACGATAAAAAAAAGAAGTGTTTCTAGTTTTGTGAAATAACAGTGTGCAGTGTACATTATGGTGTATCTAGCTTAATGGTGTGTATGCATGAAACATAATAACTGATAATAAGTTGGTAACATTAGATGAGAAATAATTTAATTTTCTATTGATATCTTAAGTTAACTTAATATACAATTTATAATAATTCATAAGAGTAGGTTTACTTATTTCACTAACAGTTTTAATATTTTAATAGTAGTAAAACGTTAACATTATAAAATGTTGTATCTTAATATAAAAAGTAAATATTTGAAGTTTTATTTACGTAATTATAGTAAATTATAATCGTATTGATATATTTGTTAATAGGCAAATAAATCACTTTGACTACTCAAATTTGGATACAGACAACTGGACAACTGAAAAAGACGGGTCGACCGGTTATCACGATTCGTCAGACTTGACGTATAACATGGGTGCTTATAGCAATAAACAAACTGATGATCTAGCTGGCATAAATGAATTGCACAGAGAGCCTGTGGTGGAATTAGACACATACTATTCAACTATTAACGGCCCATATTACAATAACAGACCATCAGAAAGCCACCCAATTATAGATCATCAACCACTAAGTACGGATTATAAATTACCTAGTAAGAGCTATCAACCTCCAACTACAAATTATCAACTCCCAAGTTCGAATTATCAACTTCCAAATACGAATTATTATCAACCGACAGATATTATTTATCAATCACCTAGTACGAACTATAATACCCCAAGTAAGAATTATGAACCACCAAAAATCCCACAGGTTCCACAGAAACCTAACCTGGACAGTCCCCAACAAAAGATAGAGACACCAATACCAAATACGAGTAGTGTAGTCGATTGGAGATTGTTAGGTATACTGTCACTGATTAAACTCGGAATAGTCAAACTAAAATCAATTGTCATCATAAAAACATTATTATTTCTTGTGTTCAGTCTAAAATTATTATTGATCACAATATTTTTCAAATTCCTATTACTTTTTAAATTCTTTAAGGCCATTATGCTACCGTTCTTGTTTATACCACTATTGCTTAGTTCGCTGATTTTCCCCATGATTTTGTCTTCATTATTTTCAATTCCGGGAAGGATAATTAGATTTTTATTTACTCCAAATAATTCAACAAGTCCACCCACTATGATGCCAAGTATGCTGAGTAATATGTTACCAAGTACACCAGGTACTATGGTACCAAATACACCGGGTACTATGGTACCGAATACACCAGGTATCACGAGGCCAGGTTTTGCTCCTTTTGTACCTCGTCCGACAAATGCGGATAGACCTGCTGGTACCGCTGTACCTGCAAATCAAATGGCAAATAGACCTGGTATGCCAACATTTGCACGTCACTTGGGGCATTTTCCAACAAACAATAATGGAACGACGTTAACTAAATCAAATACTTTACATTTACCTTATGAATGGCGTTCTGAGTCTTTGAGGGCAACGTATCCTATCATGGATATTTTTTGGAAGATGATAGATTCGGAAAAATGTGTGGAAAGAATAGCTTGTCGAATGGCCGGAACAGAGGAAGCGGGAAAGATACCCATATTGATTAATTGGTGAGCTTAAATTAAGCGTTTATTCCATGTTAGAACATTAACATCTACTCAAAATAATAATATTACAATTGTATGTCCAACGAGGATAATGAGAATAGTAGAAAAAATGAATAAATACAATTTGTTTTTATTCTTAGTTTGATTAATATAACGCATAATAAACTAATATTATTTGTATTATAAATGATTTGTAATATTTTGTTTTATAGGGCAATGCGTGTTGTATTAAAGTTCATTCCAAACAAACAAATTGAATCATACTACAAAACGTATGATGATATTATAAACAATGAAGTTCTTACAAGTCCTCCGATGAGAACCCCCGATAGTTGGAACTCGTGGTGTTTAGAACATTATAATTGTAAAAGTAATAATGTTACACATGCATAATAATAAAAACAATTTAAAAATTACAATTTATTTTTAACAATGACTTCGCCAGTAATTAGACTTTAACCTATGTTTTATTTATTGGTGCAAAATTATGTTATTTTGATATTTTATATAAAATGTTATACTTAGCCTACCTATATTATTAATTATTAAACTAATAAACTCAAATTTAAATTATATTTTGTGTGTATTGTAATGTATTTTAATAGTTTAGTATTATTTAGTTATAAAAATGCTAAAATGTAACATTTTTCTTATAATCTCGTGTCGCCATATTCAATACGACCTATCAAATGTTAACTACGGTGAAAGAATGTAATAATTTATTAATTACTATTTCCTAATCACAGTCTTACATTTTCAATTGTTGTACTGTAAGTAATTGTAAAGAATGGGGAAAGAAAGTAACCGTGATCTGTTGTACAGTAGATGTCAATTATGTTTATTTTCATCGAGTAAGTTACGGTTATGACTCAGTTGATTTTTTTATATCAACTAAAAAAAAATTTTCCTTAAAGCACCCTGTCATGTAAATTTTTTAAAGAAAATACCCTCAAAAACCTCTTTCCCCGGAGCCAGTGATAACTCGCTGGGGTACTTGGTTACATACTGCTGCATATTGTTGCGACAATTTAAGTTTCATTGAAAATATGATTTCCAAAATTGAAATAGATGTTGTTTCAGCATCCTAACTCCAATGAATAAATACTTATTAATTTGAATGTATTCCTAATAATAAATGTTAATAAAATAGCAATAAAATATAGTGTTGTATAATTTATATTTACCTACTTATTTAATATACTAATTTTATTATTTTTTTTTTCAAGAATAAAAACATTTTTTTTTACATATCTTGTATTTTTAATTACATATTTGGATAAAATTAAATACATATATATGTACATATTTTTGAATTTTGAATACATCCAAATCCGCACCCTAGTTATGAGTAATGAAATAACTACTGTATATAATGTTAAATCTAAATACAAAACGACAACAAACAAACAATGACTCATTTCATACGAAAAACGGTTCTGAACGAAGACGATCTGTCAGCCTATATATTACTAAGTATATCCTTAGGTATATTTAAATTGCTATTATAATATAATTTATTATACCTACTACCTATTAGAAATATGGTAGACGTTAATGGCTATTGGTTATTAGCTTAAAATTAATCAAAATATTTTTTAAATTGTATTGTTCATAGAAGTATATAATGATAAACATAAAATTTTCAAGTCTTCTGTTCAATGTACAAATACCAATAATAATTTATCTATATAGAATATAGATAATATACTAACGATATCGCCCTGTGTCGGGTATTATGAGGCACGGCTGCATCAGAGTGGCCGTATATCGTTTGCGCATTGCCAGTTTATGCCAGTTTATGCGCCAAATTATCATATATCAAATTCCCATAAATATTCTGAACAATAGCAGGGTATGAAAAAAAATAGTAAATAATATACAAATAATGTTCAAGGATAATGAACAATTAATTAAGCACTAAACATAATATTATAAATCAATACTTGGTATATTGTAATTTCCCGTTATTTTTACAAAATGTAACCTGTTTATTTCACTGGTAGTGAGCTTAAGCAAATGTGTTTGGGTTAGCTACATTTTTGACGTACACCATATAACTATGGTACAAAATACAAATATATTTTAAAACATAAATATCTATATAATATTTGAACATTTTAATTGAAAAATGTGTATATTTTAAGATTAACATAAGAAAACAACTTGAGATTTTCGGCTTACACCTATTTTTCAGTTATATTGTTAAATAATATTGATGCGCAAATGATGTACGACCTTATAAACGGTTGATTAGGGTTATGAAGATTTCCATCGGGTGCTCTATAACAGCATTTACATCAAAACAAAATTGTTTGTATTGCCTCCCCCTTTTTAGTTCAAGGTTTGGTTAAGTACACTAAACCATTATTGTTAGGTAACATCGACAAATAATTTTTTTCGATATTAAAATTTTACTAAACTCAATATGTGCACGAGCATGAAGTTATGCTTACCTTAGGGATACTAATTACTTTGCAGGTCGATAAATCAAGTGATATATTTTTTATAATTACTTAATTTACAAAACTATACTTGGAACTTGGAAGTATGTCGATTGAGTGTATTAATAGCCCCAGGAGAATTGAATAATATTAAACTAATGGTTCTTAAAAAAAAAATTAAAAAGTGAGCATCGCACCACCAAGAATGATATCAACGACGGGTTAAAGTTAATAATGTTATAAAATTTCAATATCACAAAAAATTATAACACTGCATACCTATTTAGGTACCTGCACTAAATCATATGTTAACGAACTAAAGTTGAATTATTGTAGTTACCAGTGGGTCAACATCAACCAATTTTTTATAGTTGTTATAAAAGTTATGTAATAACAAATTGTTCAGTATCAAAAGAATAAAATAATAAATTTATTTTATTTTATTGTACTCATATACCTATAGTTCAAAAGTCCGTAGGATAGTTAAAAAAAAAAAAATATGATTGTATATGGTTATTAACCTAAACCTAAAATAACTGTACATATGTATAAAATATTATAAACCATATTATAATAATAAATCCTATGCATAATATTATCGATTATCGATGGAAATTATATAGGTATATTGGACCAACTACATAATATAATACGAGTAAAGACGGTAAAGTCACATATATATTATATTTTATTAGTTGGTATAATACACTTATATATTTATATTAATTATATATACACAATTTACTGAATAGGTATATCTTGTAACATTTGTAACGGTGTTTCGAATTATTATTTATTAGGTATGGTCAAAATAATAGACTATACATTATTTGGCACTATTAAAGATAGGTAGGTACCTATTTAAATACGTGTTTATAAAACGTTAGTTTTATGCAATACATGGAGTGAATATAACATAATATACTATTTTATTATGATTTATACACCTAGTGAAAATTATACTGAAGGGTACCTATTCATAATCTCAACACAAGATTACATCAACATAACACACAGGTGTCTGGGATACTGTGTCCTACTTATAAACAATGTAAGTTGCAATTTAATAATAACTAAGAGTAGGTTAGATACTAACCTACGTTTTATGAGGCAAACACAAATACCAATTATTATTTTTATGTTTAGTCCCCCGGTATCAGGGACCATAATATGACACCGACCCACTGTGCAATTGCACAGTAGCGTAGTGGCTCTGTCCGAAAATATAACTATTAATCTATATACGAGTGTTTGTAGGTCCGATTTTGATCGGAAACATAACTGCCACAACTCTCACAACTGTTTTGGAATCGTCATGAGAATACAATCAACCGTCGTACTATTAACCATCACCATGGCATTCGTGTGGGTCCAATCAAGTCAGATAACAGCCCAACGTTCGGTTCATCACACGTCCGGTGATGGACCGGTAGCGAGAGACCATGGACTAGTGTTAGTGTCAAACACTACTCAAATGGCACTAGAACAGGAACGAGTCTCGAATGCCACGCCGGTAGCAATTCAAGAACCGGCTGGAGAACAAGAACCGATACACCATCCGAGTGCAGAACACCTGAATGTCACTTCGAGGTCTCGTAATGATGGCTCAGGTGTTGTAGTTCAAGACAACCAATTCAAAACCTGGCCGTCAGTATCTAAAAATAGAACTCCGATGTTTGTCATACAGGGAAAATTGATAAAAGAAATGCCTCACTCTATCTATTACCGTCACAGCAACACAAGCACTGTTGTTGATGAAAACTTTAATAACGAATCCGACGCTTCTCATATTCTACTTAAAATGAATATCAGGTGAGAAACTCGATTCTATAGTATTTTTAAAGGATACTCGTGTACCCATAGTAATTGTGAATGAGTTTCTACTAAGAATAGTGAAAGCCACCATAAACAACTGTTGCATTTTTAATAGGAACTATTTTTAACCAAAAAATTGTTGAAACATAACCTGGTAGGTATAAGAAATATTTTTTAAAAAAAATGTTATCTGTTATCATGTTAAACTTAAAATTG